ATTCCTTCACCTCTCTGAGTAGTTTCTTAGGCGAGATGGGCAAAGGATCCCCTTTGTGGATCTGGACGGGTTGCTGTGAACATTCAGCCATGAGCTCATGCAGGAAGGGGTGAGATGCCTTTAGTGTGTGTGTGCACATGGAGTATTGTCAAAACGGGAGCTGACCGTCCAGCTTTGGGTGCTCCTGATGGCAGGTGACAGCCAAGTAGGCGCTTTAACACAACTAGTACCTGGCTTCCGCACACGCTTTGTATGAGGGCCTAAAACCCGCTGCTTGCTTAGATTCAGCTTTCACAACCTTACAGACACGGAGTCGGGCACTGAGAAGGGCCTAGAAAGCGTTGCTGGTTTTGGCGCCGGCAGAGTGAGTGAGTCCCCAGTAGTGCTCGCTGCTGAACTGCGCCATGAAGACTGAAGTGCCGTTTCCTCCCTGCAGATGTGTTTGCTCTCGCTTTGGCAATTAAAGAGATGAGCGCAGCGACACGTAAAGCACGAATGACGCTCTGGTGTGCGCTCCAGATGACCCTGCCGAAATCTGCAGCCGGCAAACCAGATCCAGAGAAGGCTCTTCGGGAGACTGAGGAAAAAGCGTGCGATGCACAAGCGGCTGCGGCATCCTGACTCAGAGGGCTGAAGTAAGCAGGCACCAGCGAAGTACCAGTTGCATGCAAAAACAGATCCCGCAGTGTGTATGTGAGAGGTGATACGCTAATTCTTTTTAATTATTTGTGAAGTTTGAACTACTGATATTCATATTTAAAGCTGTATCTTGACAGAAGTTGTATTTGCTTGAAGAGCTCTCGGGTTCTACTTAAACTGTTAACATTACAGGCAGCACCAGAATATTGTAAAGTTGAACTGGTGAATGTTAATTTTAAAAATAATCAGACTAATTAATTAACAGACAAGATATTATTTAACTTCTGCAGGTGAACCCTGGTGTACAACTCTTCTGATAACTTCTTTTAGTTTTGCTTTAGGAAATAGGTTTTAAAATAATGATTCTTAAAGACTGTAGTCTAACGGGGTGTCCAGTCAGTGTCAGATAAGATTGTGATGTAAAGATGGTTTCCTTATCAAACTAGTACCTGGAAACAGGAGGGGGAAAAGCTAAGAATACCCAATATTCATGTAAAATTAAATATTTAAAATATAAATATTTATGAATTTGAGATTTTAGATTCTAAGTTTGTGAAAGGAGAGGCACCGGGTTCTTCTAAATTACTGGTATGACAAAATTGCTGTTGTGAAACCATGCAATTTAGTAAATGTGTTCAAATCATTTGGGCATGCTCTCGGGCTACAAAGAACCTCTGTTTTAAAGTATTTAAACACAATCAAAATATGACCTGCACACAGGATTATCCTTTAAAAAGCTGTGCAGCAGCTGAAATAATGAGTCTTGTTTTTAATACCTTCACTTGACCATTTGAAGAGGTATCACAAAGTTCTGAAATTTAGGTTTTCTGCAAGTTACTCTTTGACTGTTTGGTTTGAAATTTTGTTGTCATCTTTTAGACTTCTTAGTTTACCTCTGGATTTTTGACAGCTACGAATACGTGGTGTTTCTCTGCATATCTTAATCTGTACGGAGTATAAGTAACTTATTCACTGGTACGAGACGTTGGTATTATGTGGCTCAGGAGACACGGGGTTTTAACACTTCCAGCATCGCGTTTATAATGTGTGGATTAAATTGATTCAGCTGTCCTTGCCTAGATACCCTGATATTTTAAATGTCTGTGGTCTTCCTCCTTCTGGGAATCCCGATATGCAAAAGGTGTGATCGCACCACATAAATTGTCACTGGATGATGTGGGAAAGAAAGCGGATGAGAATGCAGCGGGAAGCGGCGTAACCGCTTTGCTCACTGAAATGGCCAAAAGCACCGCCCGAGGGCGTGAGTCTGGGCAGAACCAAGCACGTCGCCGTTCCGCGAGCCGCTGCCCGAAGGTTCGTGAAGTTAAACCCAGGACCCGTTGATGTTAAAAGCAATGCTGTACTGACTGTAGTCTGGTGAGAAATAAACTGGCTCTTGTTGGAGAGTGTGGGTGCTGCGTTTGCCTTCCTAGCTGCGGCTCCTGGAATCATTAAGGTTGGAAAAGACCTCTAAGATCATCAAGAACTTGATCTGTTACTGGGGATTGCAATTTTTAGTTAATTACTGTGAAGTATGTTAAGAGGTGTAAAGCAATGGTGACACTGAAATGACTCTTGTAGAGAGCAATGACTGTAGCATTAGATAAACCAAGGGAAAATTGTACCGGTGCAGCGAAGCCAAAGCGGGGGACTGTTTGTTTTCCCCTGCAGGTTTCTCGTTAGTTCCACGCTCGGTACTATCGGGGAAAGCTCATGCAGTCACACCGGTATCTGCAGTGGGAATCTGGAGTCTGGCTGGAGTATTTCTTCTCCATCGTGCCAGTAACACGCTCCTGAGTATCCCGAATATCAGTCTGGCATCAGCACTCGCGCTCCCGGGGCAGCAGCTGCTCTGGGCACTGACCGGGGGTTGAAGCTTGGCTGGCCGGTCTGGGGGAGGGCGTTCTGCGCTGCGCTGGTGCCTGCACCCCTAAATCCCCCCCCTCCTGTTGAGGGTGTGCACTGGGGCACGCGGGGGCTCGCCTTTGTTCGGTGGCTCTGGAGCTCGCCAGCGGGCAGAGGGGTTCCAGCTCCTGCCACGAGCAGGCGAAGGCAGCTGTTTTTGCGGGACCTTACACCCAGAGGTCTCCAGCAGTGAGCTGTGGTGCACCAGCATCCGCGCAGACGGGAAGCTCCAGCCCTCGGCTTGCGTTCTGCTTGGGAGCAGAGCTCTGGGGAAGTCCAGCAGCAGGGCACAGAGCTCTTGGTGCCCAGCTTAGGAAGGTGAGAAAAAACCCGAGCCTCCCAGCACCTGCCACTGCTGCCAGAGCAACCAAGGTGCTGGGGCAGCGTTAAATCACCCGGAGAGCCGGCGGCCTCCTCCAACCCCCGTGTGGGCAGGGGGCTTCAGGCAGGGGCGCTGAGCCCCGGCGCGGGGCCCTGTGTGCCAAGGCTCCCGGTCGCAGAAGCC